CTCTTTGGGGAGATAGGACTGGTGCTTTCTATACTTCGCGTAGTCGGAAGTGATTCTGTGTTTGTAAAACTCAGCCTCAAGATGAGCGAACCACAAATGAGGATCCATATCCCAAAAACATGGTACAGAGTGAGATACAACGCTTAGCAGATACTCTACCTTAGGGTCTACAGATTCCATGGCTCAAAAATGATGCAAAAAACAGGATACCGTATGCAAAATAAACCGCAAAATATGAAAAATTAATGGAACGAGCTCACTGGAGAAAAGTTCCAAATATCCGGCGCTGAGATTCTTCCGGAGTTGGGGTCAGCAATTTAGAGGGTCGCCTTTACCAGGAGCTCAGAGAGCGATTCGAGAACACAGACGAGTTGCAGGGAAACTTTTATTGATACAGTAAAAGATCCCCTGTTAGCTAGCTATAAACGAACGACACCGTGGACGCTCTAGCTAGGGGAAATGAGCAGTCACAGCACACAGGGCAGTCGCGAGTTGCAACCGAAACGAGCGCCAAGCAAAATTGGCGATGAGCAAGTCAAGCATTCGAACTCAGCCATCCGTTCAACAAACCACAGCGGTTGCCTAGGTGTACAATGAAATAATTTTAGTTAGAATTTTACACATGCAAACCCGGGAATCTCCAGGCTTCTACAGTCATGAAATTACAGGACATGTCTTGCGGTGATACTAGTTGCTTACTTGTAGTCAGTCCTTAATCAGACTACCTACTTAATATGTGCAATAGGGAATTTTGTTCATAATCACAGGTAAGAAAATCAAAAGACAGTCTGTAAGATGACACCATCATTCTGAGCATCCTCATCAATCACTTGAGAGAATCAAGGGAAAATGAGATCAATTGGTGGCCAGTTGGTGGCCGACTTGTGCCCTTTGAGCTCATACGATAGATTCATTGTCATTGTTAACTGCTTAGTACACATAGCAGCGGCCGCTCTCTATCGGTAATAATGGCGGTAAAGAACTTGAGAATGTGATGCTTTTATGGTGCATCTGATGCTCGCTTATAGGTGGGTTGAAGCTGCTTGTGAGGTGGATCAAGGAAAGTCACAGTTATGATCGTGTCTGTTCACCTAGTGAAACCACTCTTTTCTGATCTTCGCTTACGGTGTTTGTCGTTATTTCCCATTGATATTCGCCACAGTTACGGTCAAATGGCCACATCACATCTGGATAAGCACGGGACGACCATTGTATCCTTTTTAGAATCACTAGGGGTGCGCATTACACCGATCATCTGTGTGGAAGGAGTTCGTGCAGTCACCCTTACACTCGGTCCCTCATTTCTATCCGTATTATTCGCTATTTCCTAGGTCACCTTGGTTGTGTTGCATAGAAACATCGGTCCGAATTCCAAGTTTATTGCTATTGATGATACTACTGTTGTATTGTGTTGATGTCTACCTAGCAAACACATTTTCTTTATACTTTGCCATCGTATGCTTACAACCATGTACTTTGGATGCTGAATTCGCAGTTAGATCAGCCTGTTTCCTCCGATATTTTTGTTTTCGTCCTTACGTCTGCGGGATTATGAGGCCATTAGAATGATTGTACCATAATCATCGGCCGCTATCCCGTCTAGCTCTCTTTGGTCAATTCACATATAATCACATTACCGCAGTTTTCAATAACCGATCAAAATCACTTACACCCTGGATAATTATATCATGCTGTATACAGTAAAGTTTCATAAACTCAACTACTCAGGGGATTGGACCAAATTGGTCAATAAGGGTAGATGGTCAACACACAGGGGTCTGGATCCCTAAGGTTTACATGGTGAATTTTCAAGCTATAAAAAATAAAACCGTCAACTTAATGAGGTGATCCGATTAAAGAGCCAGTCAACTCCGGGAGTTTTACTGTAATCGCACTATCGCAACACGCAATCACTGTGACCCCATCGGCTACCACCGCTTAATCGGATATTCTACAATGGAAGCGCTGTTTCCGTCATGCGCTCAGTGGCCACTGAGGTCTTATTGAAACGAATATGAATGTGTAGATACGCATACTCTGTCGATAGGATACAGTGGATGCGAGATCAATGAAAACGGACTTACTACCCTCCAGACGTCGCATGATAGCTTGCAATTGTCGTTCAACGTATATGTAAACTCAAACTCGATAAATTCAGCTGTGCACAAGCGTGTAGTTCTGGTGGATACCAGGAAGATAATCTATACGAGCTCTCGTTGTTAGTCTCGATTCGCACCATCTGACCCACTCGTTGCTGATGCTTCAACACTAGCCGGTCCAATGTTCACTACCAATCATCGACTCCTTAATCTATTCGTGTATAGTTTTACAACGGTTTGTGCTTACACTACCTAATCGGCTCGTCACTTTACGCTCATCTGCTAGTTGCCTTTGTCTGATTACCGAGTACACCTGACCCCGGCTCCCCTCCACTGTTTGTCAAACGACGCTAACAATCGCTCAAGTTGGAGAATAGATAAATCACCACCAACTCTCCTGTATCATATTGTTTAAAGTTCATTTTTATTTCCGTTCGTTTCTCTTTACTTATCACCTTCACCAATATCGGCGAGTGCATCACATACTTCACACTACTCTTGAGTACGCAAAAACATGCCTGCTTGCACTTGAGGTCAGCACCAGGTAAACAAGCCCACAGTTTGCATGCACTGGGATAAATCTACACCATTTTGCACGCATGTTAGCGCATTGTACCAAGCTTTTAGCCTGGCACATTTTCGAAGTCACGTACAATGCTTTCAAGTTAGCGAGATTTCCTTCAGATAGGCATCAAAATAGACCAGAAGGTGGTGCTCGACCACTTTCATTGGACTCTCTGTCGCTTATGCTGTGGGCTTCCAACTGGTGTCCCCTTGGGTAACGTCCCATGACCAATGAGAGTGTCAACGACGCCAAAACAGCGTTCTTAGCCTCGCAAACTTGAAAGCACTGCACACGATTTCGAAAATGTGCCACGCTAAAAGCTTAGTACAATGCGCTAGCACGCGTGTAAAATGGTATAGGGCGCTCTAGGATGAGGGCAAGCCCATTCATTCATCTAACCGTCCCCGAAACCGGCTGTAAACCTGATAGCTCAGCCACAGTTGATTAAGCGAAGGTGGGGTTTACTTGCGCTTTGTTTTGCCGTCATATTTGCAAGCGCACTCCCTATTCCAGACTTTCGGACCACACACGAAGTTCTCCTCAATTCCGATATACACGTTATGTGGATGAATTGCGACACGCAATCTCGTGCTCGAAAGACCAAGGTTCACTTCAGTGAGAATTACGGTCAACCTTGAGATTGCCTGTCGTAATCCATCCACACAACGTGTGCTTCAAACTGACACTCAAAATCCGTTATTAACCGTTGTGCCAAGCGTTGCCCTTCGTGACGCGGTGGCTTAGGGGTAGCGGTCACAACTAACATCCCGATAGTCCCGGGTTCGATACTTGCTGGCTCTATCTAATGCGATGAAATAACATCTAAACGCGTCATATTTGTACAATGTTTTCGCGTGGGCAACATCCAATTTCTATCCGCATCAGCTACGGTCCTCGAGATCGAAAGACCAAAGTTCACTTCAATGGGAATCGCGGTCAACCTTGAGTTGCGTGTCACAATCCATCCACACGGCTTGTACTTCAAAATGACCCTCAAAGTTCTTACCAATTTGGAGGGTTTTGATGTGGCTCTATCCCATCCCTGCACTCCAATCCTGACGGTTTTGTCTTTGTTTAGACTCAGCAGGTCGAGCTGGGCCTAGAACTGGGCGCATAGTGCTTGGCGGCAGTCGCCCTGATCACTAGGCCCTTGAGCTCTGCAAGCAGTGTTTGACACAGCAGTTAGAAGTTGATTTTCGGGTTTTGGAGCACTGGACGGAACCGTCGGTCGTTGAACGCAGGGATGGGAGAGAGCCACACCGAAACTCTCCACCTCGGTGACGGTCCCAGTGACCGTATTGGCGGAGGCTGACTTCAAACTCTACCGGCGCTACGATTGTGATTGCGTATCGCAATCCAAGACACTCGCTGGGTGCTCCAAAACCCCAAAATCAACTCATAACCGCTGTGTCAGACTGCTCGCGGAGCTCAAGGACCTAGTGATCATGGCGATAGCCGCCAAGCAATATGAGCCGAGTTCCATTCCCAGCTCGGCTATCTCTACCTGATGAGTCTAAACAAAGACATAACCGTCGGTCGTGGAGTGCAGGGATGGGATAGATCCACATCGAAACCCTCCACTTCGGTGACGGTCCCAGTGACCGTATTGGCAGAGGCTGATTTCTAAGTCAACCGAGGCCACGATTGAGAATGCGTGTCGCAATCCAAGACACACGGCGGGTGCTCCAAATCCCGACAATCATATTCTTACCAATTTGTTTTCCTCCCGGTTGCTCAAGAGTCGAACATGATTCTGTCGTTCACCGTGTAACCCTCGTGGCTTTATTGCTTTGTCACTGTTTCTTCTGTGCACGCCATAAAAGACAAAATTACCTAATCGGAATACGCTGGTAATTTTTCTTCCCAACTGCCTTTTTCCCGGTTCTTCAGGTGGAATAACTCTTTTTCACAGACGGGTGTGATTAGCCCGTAAATATCTTTGGTTTACAATCAGTAACTACGCTGATTTGATGGTCATCACTGGTCTGGTTTTAAGTCATAACCAGGTTGCTTTAGCTTCCTACACCTACCACTGTTCGTTTTCGGCATTACCCTACAAATATTTTCAGTATTCTCAACCAAACGAATGGGAATATCACTGAATACAGTTGTTGCTTACAATGTACCCCAAGCCCGCTCGCTGGAACCACAAATCAATGCCTGGTACCTATACGCACACCACAAACAACTACTAGCACCTTCGGCTGAATGCCGAGCTGCATATATTAGTACCCATTCAACCTCTGTTCTAGATGCATGTATGCCTTTGGTACAACTCACAAACAATATTCCTTTATCACAAGCCCCTATATTCTCCCCCTCAACCGTTTTAACAGGTGTGCACTTCGGTGTTGGAATGGAAGGCGTGAACGAAGTGGCTCAAACAAGTGGAGCCATTAACGCACGTCGGTACAAAGGCATTGGCCCATATGCGCTCACTCGGAGCTTGGGGAACATGCCAGCTGGAGCCATTAGCCGTCTATGGGGATTGCGTGGGCCATGTTTGTCGGTGAATGCTGCCTGTGCAACCGGGTTGCATTCTATTGGGGATGCATACAGAATGAGTGAGTCTTATACACTCGAACCTCTGTTAGGCATGTTTCAACAGATGTGACTCAGCCCCATAACATTTTGACATTGGTTCATTACCTCCTTTGTGCAGTTCAACACGGTGAGGCTGAGCTCATGCTTGCCGGTGCCTGCGAGGCCGTTATCGTACCCTGGGCCTTGGCTGCTTTTTCGCGCATCCGAGCTCTTTGTACTCAGTTCAACGAGGCACCTGCTGAAGCCTCTCGCCCTTTCGATGTACGACATGATGGCTTTGTCATGTCAGAAGGGGCAGGTGCCATTGTCCTCCAAGCGTGGCCCCCGACTCCGGAAGTCGCTGCTCTGTGTGAACGCTCGTCGTCCCCGATCGCAGAGATTATAGGGTTCGGCCGAGCAGGTAAACTATGCAAACGAACACTTATTGGTGTTGATGTAGTTTTTATCGTTATCACCATTCAATCGGAATCTTAGTTTTTATCAGTGGATCGAGCACCGTAAGGCCTCCACAATTCCCATTTCGTGCGAACCAAGTGCAGCTGTCTCATTTTTTCACGAGAAGAATCAGGCAACCCTATTCGTTGCTTACTCTTACTGAAACGCTCCTTTTTAGATAGTAAATTAGTTAAGCTTCTGCCCAAGGACTCTGAAACCGACATTATGAAACGTATGCATCGCTAGTAGTGCAACCATCGATTTCATCATTTCCGTTATTTTTTTAGTTGTATAGACGTGTGGTCCATCTGCTGAGCACGATACCAACTGCCCATCATACTACACTGGCGATGGTCGTGTGGCAGCGAAGCGCCGTTACGGCGTACAACTGGCGATTTATTAATTATTATTACTATTATTATTTTACCAAACATATTTCGCAGGTTTATCGAGTTTTCAGTCACTTTCTTTAGATCTTACTTAGATGACAGCTTCTACAAAGATGAGTACATTTGATGCAAAATTCTGACACAAGTGATTCCATGGTGCAATATCAATCGTATACCTGGATATTCTAGAATTCTAGATCAGTTTGCTCACTATAAACCTCCCGACATCTAGGCCATCTGTATGTGGGGTAAGCAAATGGAGTGGAACCAATTCGTCTTATTTCGTGTTAGTCCAACAACAACGCTAAAGCGGTAGTAGCAGGTTTGCCATACTCTTTTTATTAACGTAAGGGATTTGCTATGTCGGGTGACGCTTTCCGCCTGTCGATTAGCGGATGGCAGAGAGCATCGTTTTAGAGGGTTGCCTATTCCGGGAGCCCAGAGAGCGATTCCAGAAGACGGATCAATTTGCAGGGAAACTTTTATTGGTTCAGCAAAAGATTCCCTGTTAGCTAGCTATAAATGAACGACACCGTGGACGCTCTAGCTAGGGGAACAGATCAAGCACAGCACACAGAGCAGTCGCGCGTTGCAACCGAAGCGAGCGCCAAGCAAAAATGGCGATGAGCAAGTAAAGCATTCGAACTCAGCAAGCAGTTCAACAAACCACACCGGTTGCCTAAGTGTACAATTAAAGAATTTTGGTTAGAATTTTACACAAGCAAACCGGGGAATCTCCAGACTGCTACATAGCCCTCTCCCAGAAGGGACTGTGTAAGCAGTCCTTCGATCTACGTGAGGACTGTCCGTCGCGGGCCAGCCTTCTGCGAGACCAGGTTGTGAAACCCGATGCAGCTGCTGGGGGAGAACCATGCAATCGGACCCTAGCGGGCTCCCACCCGTGTCCTCCCTACGGTGTCGAAACGGTAAAAAAACTGTTTGTGGGGGGGACAGTTAATAAAGTTCACGTAGGCAGTTGAGCAGGAAGATTGTTGAACTTCCAGTTGGCGTGCGGAGATCCAGCGGAAAGTGAAACCGAGGTGCAACCAACCGACGATGTATATGGAAAGCAAAATGAAAAAGCAGCATAAATGCATAGCAATACACAAAAGAGTGTTAAGCGAAAAACGTGCAAAGCTGTTTTTGGGTTTTCAAAAAGTTTTGCTCTTTTTTGGTAGTTTCAAAACGTTTTGGTCTTTTTTTGTGGATTTTCAAAAACGTTTAGTAAGAGCAGAAAATTTCTAAGGCACGTTCTACGTAAAATAGTAAGTACTGACAAAGTCTGAAAAACGAACTGGAGGCTTGAGTTTCCTACCGCGTCGATTGAGAGTAGGGCGGGTAGGAGTGCTGTCGGTTGTGTTCGTCGGTTCTGCTGGAGCGGGCTGACTCGTCTGCGTTTGCGGTGCCGGCTGTGATGGCACGGGCTGTGAAGGTGCTTGTTGCACCGGCGAGTCAGACTTGTCAAGGTATGCTGGCTTGAGTCGATCGACGTTGACCGTTTCAGTCTTACCATTGTAGTCAATGGTAAACGTTTTGTCGCTTCTACGTACGACACGGTACGGACCAGAGTAAGGAGGCTGAAGTGGTCGGCGTACGCTGTCAGTGCGAACGAACACGTGCGTGCAAGTAGTTAACCGTTCGTCCACGTTTGTACGCAAGTTCTGTGCTCTGGGTTGCACAGGCTGAAGCTGTCGCATGTGATGAGATAGGCGAGCTGCGTAGTCGCCATAGTCGAAAGTTGTTGGCGCTTTTGGTGAGACGAGTTCACCAGGTAAGCGTTGTGTGCATCCAAAGACTAGCGACGATGGAGTGGCTTGCAAATCCACTTTAATCGTGTTTCTTATGCCTAAGCGAACGAGCGGAAGTGCTTCGTGCCAGGATGTGCTAGATTGGGCACAGAGTGAGGCTTTGAGTTGCCGGTGGAACCTTTCTACCATCCCATTAGCTGCGGGATGGTATGCGGTGATTCGGTTATGTTGGCAACCAAGAACGTTGAGCAATTTGCTGAAGGATCCGTCAAAGTGTGATCCTCTGTCAGTGATGACTACGCTTGGGCAACCGAATTGAGCTACCCAGCGTTCTAAGAAAGCTTGCGCAACTGTCTCAGATGAGCAGTTGACTAACGGAATCGCCTCTGGCCAACGAGTGAATCGGTCGACACAGGTGAGTAGGTACACGTAGCCTTTGCATGGAGGCAAAGGTCCGACCAGATCGACATGGACGTGTGCAAAACGAGCGTCAGGAGCGGGAAAGACGCCAAGTGGGCTTTTGGTGTGTCTGTAGACCTTGGCGCGCTGACACTCTAAGCATGCGCGTGCCCAAAGGCGGACATCGCGATTGACGTTGGGCCATATGAAGCGTTCCGTTACGAGCTTCTGCGAAGCACGTATGCCGGGATGAGACAGGTTGTGTAAAGCATTGAAAACTAGTCGACGCATTGAGGTAGGAACTACGGGTCGGGGAGAAGTTTGTGACACGTCACAAAGTATGGTCCCCTCAGATGAAGCTAGTGGGACTTCACGTAGTTTTAACGAGGTATTGCGTCGTAGCTTGTCGATGTCGGGATCAGCTTGTTGGGCAGCAGCCATAGCGTCTAGATCAATGTTGGTGCCAGGCGATAAGCTGATCTGCTGAATGCGTGAAAGCGCATCCGCGACGGGATTGAGAGCACCTGAGACATGACGTACGTCTGTCGTAAACTGAGAAACGTAGTCTAGGTGTCTAGTTTCCCGCGGCGAGTACTTGTCTGTTGCGCCATTGATTGCGTAGATCAATGGCTTGTGGTCGGTGAAGACGGTGAAATGTCGACCTTCGAGGTAGTGACGGAAATGTCGGATACCTAGGTAGATAGCTAACAGTTCCCTACCGAAGGTGCTGTATCGCGATTCGGCAGGTTGGAAGCGCTTTGAGAAGAAACCTAGGGGTATCCATCGATGGTCGATGAGTTGCTGAAGAACTGCACCGACGGCAGTGTCGGATGCGTCAGTCGTCAGGGAGAGTGGCGCAGATGTGTCTGGATGGGCGAGAAGCGCTATGTTGGAGATAGCGTCTTTAAGCTTCTCGAAAGACAATTTAGCGTCGTCTGCAAAATGAAAAGAGCGTTGTTTACCGCGCAGCAAGTCAGTCATTGGTTGAACAATGCTCGCGCAGTTAGGTATAAAGCGTCTGTAATAGTTGACCAGACCAAGGAATCGGCGTAACTGCTTGAAGGAACTGGGAGCAGGATAGTCCTTCAGTGCCTGGATTTTGTCTGGCAGGGCTTCGATACCAGAGGCAGATATGCGGTGGCCAAGAAAGTCGATGGAGCTTTGGCCAAGCTCGCATTTATCGGGGTTGACGGTAACCCCATGCTGTGTTAAGCGCTGGAAGAGAGCGTCGAGGTGACGAAGATGCTCCTCGTCAGAAGAGCTGGCGATGAGTATGTCATCGAGATAGGGATAAACGCCTTCGAGTCCTCGTGTTACCTCATGAATGAAACGCTGAAAAGTTTGAGCAGCGTTGCTGAGGCCGAAAGGCATTCTGAGGTACTCGAATAAGCCAAATGGCGTGATGACTGCTGTTTTAGCAATGTCATCTGGCGCCACAGGTATCTGGTGGTACGCACGGACTAAGTCGACTTTGCTGAAGATAGACTTGCCAGCTAGAGCTGAGGTCAAGTCGTGCATGTGCGGGATAGGGTATTTATCCGGGACGGTAAGTTTGTTAAGTGCCCTGTAGTCACCACAGGGGCGCCAGTCACCGGACTTCTTCGGCACCATGTGTAATGGTGATGCCCATGGACTTTTAGACGGGCGGATGATTCCCAGTTCGAGCATTTGCTCGAATTCCGCCTTCGCAGCTTTGAGCTTGTCCGGGGCTAGTCGGCGAGGGCGGGCCGAAACAGGTGGGCCCTTAGTGCAAATGTAATGCATGACGTTCGACGTCACAGGAGGCAAGTCGTTCAGGACGCGAACGAGTTTAGGGTGCTTGCTGAAAAGTTCTAGAAAAGACTGTGAAGCTTGAGGTAGGACACGAATGGGAGTGATAGCAGCCACGTTGGCGCTAGTCCCGATAACACTGAGCTGTGTCCTAGAATCGATAAGCTTCTTCCGTTTAGCGTCGACGATGAGGTCGAAGCGTTGAAGAAAGTCTATGCCTATGATGGCGAAAGGCACAGCAGCGATTATGAAAGGCCAGCGAAAGGTTCGCCGGAGGCCTAAATTGAGCGTTAACAGCTTTTCGCCGAAAGTTGCGATTGGTGTGCCATTGGCGGCACGCAGCTTGGTCGGCGATGGCGAGACGACCTCATCTGAGCTACGGGGTATGACGCTAACTTCGGCACCAGTGTCGACTAGAAACTCGATGCCGGAAGTTAAATCCCTAACACGGATGAGGCGACTTTGGTGTTGGCCAGTCGCGTCCGTCGCCGTTACGGACCGGCCGGGCAGTTTCCCTGCTTCTCGGCAAAGGTGCAAGGTTTGACGCATTTACGAGCTGCGGTACCAAAACGCTGGTGGTACCAACAGCTAGCCTGCCTGTTTCTAGACTTAGAACGTTTGCAGGGCGATTTGGATCGGCTATGACGACGACGGTCCAT